TTGGATACAAATTTTTTTTTAAAAAAAAAAAAAAGAAAACACCCAAATCAATTTTGAAAAAATGAAATCGGTTTCATTTCCACAGCCTTAAACCATTGTTCCCGACTGTCCCTTCCGACTACCGCTGTCGTCGTCATCGCCTCATAAGCCTTATCCCCAGACTCTTTCTTCTTCTGCAACTCCAACGACTTGTATTTTGAAAATTTCATCCTTTTTCTCAATGCCGATGTCAAGCTCGATCTAGATCAAATTCACCTCTCCTTCCCAGTAGATAATTTAAGTATCGGCTCTCAACTCCCGACATGGTGGCTTTCGTAGTGAAGGCCAGCGTGGCGCTCAACTGGCTGAGGCGGCGTCGAGACTTGTGGCCGCGAAGGTCCTCCAGCTATTCTCCGACGGAGGTCCTCGAGTCTCTCGCGGCCATCTCGACGGCATCTGACGAAACGGAGGTAGATTTCATGGCCCCGAAGCTGCAACTCAGAGGCGGCGACGTTTTACCGAGCGGCAGTTCTGGTGGAAACTTTTCTGTCGGAGTGTGTCGCAGCCGTCTCTGGTGGCTGAAGGTGGAGGGGCGACGATTGGTTGGTGTCACAATTCTGTTTGTGCGTGTGTGTGTGTTCTATGTGTGCTGAAGTGTGTTTGTGTATTTTTTTTGTTAGTGTGTGTGTGTGTGTGTGTGTGTGTGTGTGTGTGTGTATGTGTGTATGAGAGAGAGAGATTATAGTGTTGGTGGGTTCGGTGGAGCCCACCAAGTGAGTGAAATTGTTTGTAATGACTAATTTACCCTTAATGAGTGGACATACATTTGACCGAGACTTGTTCACTTATTTACCATATTGCCACAATGTATTTGACCATTATTTACTAAATGTTAACTTCATCATGACCATTAATATGTTGGATCCAATTATATCCCATCTCTATATAGGGTTGGGTTCAACTGAGAAATGTGCTCAGTGAAACAAATAAGGATACATTGCAGTCATTAGATTAAATGATATAATGGCTAAAAAAATACCAACATTTGTACATTCATTAAGGGTATTTTTGACATTTTTCTTATCAACCCGTGGGGCCCACACAAACTAACACTCATCCACATCCACTAGCTCCATGCCACGTGGACTATGTGCCACATGGACAATGTGTAACACAGATACACATACTCTTGCACACAACACACACACGCCTACACATGCCACACACACAACACACACATAACAACACACAACACACAATACACACATACCACCCATTTACGACACGCCCGACACCGGCCACCACCAGACCGTCGCCGTCACAACCTATCGTAGCCGCCGCCACCGCCACCATAGATCGTCGTCGTGGCCATCGCCGACCACCGTCGCGCTAGCCTACATCACGTCGTCCTTAAGGAGCTCTTGTCTTTTTATCTTCTTCGGCGTTGTCGCGTCGCGATCGTCGCCGCCATTCCCACCGCCCATATTTTTCCTATGTTGCTGCCACCCGCCCTGATTTCATGTATACTTCGTTCCTTAGTATTGATATTCACGTACTAAATTTTATGGTACGCATTTAATTGTTTTACTTTACTTGTAGGAAAAGGAAGAGAAATGATAATAAAATGAAGCGACTCATGTGAGATTTGAGAGCTGAAAAACATGAGGAGCTGGAAAATCAAGCAAGAAAGGAAATAAATTGAGCAAAAAGATATTTCCAAAAGTTGGCAAAGAAACAAAGAAAAAAATTTCCATATATTGAAGAGAGAGAGAGAGAGAGACGATTAAATCTTAAGGATTTGGACAAGATATTTGTGTATGGTGACTTACAAGGCATGGAGATTCAGTTTTCCAAATTTGAACGAGAAGATCGAGAAGATTTGGAAATTCTCAATTTCTAATGAACCTGCATATCGTTTATAGTTTTGTATATAGTTTAGTTTCACGAGTTCTGGTTAGAGAGCGAACTATTCCATTATTTTCTCAGAGAGCTTAGAGTTTTTATCATTGAGGGCTCGTGCGTTTTTATTTGAATTTTATAGATTAATCAGATTCCAGCATGCTGGTACATCACTGGTAATTCGATCGATTTGTTTGTTTTTCTACTTGATGCTTGGAACGAGTATCTTCATAATGATTAGAGGGACCCATATGTTCAGCTTAAGTCTACGTTGTGCTAAAAGAGTAGTTAGGTAGGTGGGGTACATAGTAGGTTAACTAGAGGGAGTCTAGGTGAGTAATTCCTAGTTGTACTAGTTGATCAAACATTTATTTAATGAAAGAGTACTAAATGAGAGTGAGACGTTCTACTGAAAGTTTGTTTTTTGTTATTTGTTTTTGCAAATTTATATGAACTTACAGTATTTTTAGTATAAGCGCAAATTTGTACTCCTAAAAATTTTATATTATATATTATTTTTGTAATATAAACAAATGATCAATTTTATAAGACAAAATGTTTTGTTGTGGAGTGTGGGCGTGCATCCGAATAACCAGAAACTTCACGGACTCGTTTGAGAAGATTGCAAAAGTCTATTCGGTTGTTAAGGACGCGCGTGATCGTTCCGAAATATGTGCCCTTCTCTTCATACACTACTTGCACATATCATATTATTGTCCTTATTTAGTGTCTTTTATATTATTGTCAAGACTAGACTTTTATTATCATGACTGGACTTTTATTATCATGACGTGTTACCCTTCCTATTGGATAAGCTTCTATCCTTTTTCTAATCCAATGGGAACAAGGGTTATATTCAATTCCCAATAATACCCTCATCTCATAATTGGACTTTAGATTTATTTTCTTCTGTATAACAATCAAATACTTCCTCCTATTCATAATAAGTGTCGTTTTGGGAAGTTGCACACTAATTAAGATCAATTTTTTTTGTCAATAATAACTCTCATTAATGAAGATAAAGATGGATGTTTTAAAAGAAAATGAAGAGAATATGAAAAGACGTAGTGTATTTATTAACTAAATGAGGGTAATAATGGAAAAATATGTACAAAAGATCCAAAACGACATTTATTTTGGTTAATAGTTGATAAAGCCAAAATGACATTTAAAAAGAATAGGAGATAGTACATTTTATAGGTTTACCAAAAATAAAAAAGAAAAAGAAATAGTACACCCCAGAATTATTATTTTATTTTATTTTATTATATATAGAGCATAAGAAGTTTTCTTTCACCTTTAACTAACTCATACCAATGGAATATCCATAAACCCAAAAAAAAAAAAAAATGTTTCTTAGTGCTTTCTTTCGATAAAGTTTGAACCACTTAAAAAAGTCAAAAAGAAAAAAAAAGATCACTAGTTTTCGAGAATAGAAGGGCGTTTTGGTAAAAATCTCCGACATCAACCCCTTGCTCAAATGTTTTATTTGTTCTTTAAAAACCACCATTTGGTCGCATTTCCCTTCATACCGTTTCTGATAAATCTGCGTATCAGTTGAAGCAGGGTAAGAAGATCAAGAAACTGCCACAACCTCTTAGATTCTATCTTTCATCAGAGGAAAATGCTGGCAGTTTTCGAAAAATCGGTGGCGAAAAGCCCTGATGCCCTGCTGCAGAACACACAAAACGAATCTATTTGCGCCCTCAAAGATGGATCATTGGCCAACCATTTCTCGTCCGTACATCCGACCGCCGTCCTCATCAACCTCGGATATTCTGGTTTCATGGCCTACTCATCAGACAAACAGAACCCTCTTCTTCCTAGGTTTGTGGGATGTTGATCATTCTTCAATATGAACTTTTTTCTTTGTTTTGTGTANTTTTGTTCTTTGTGGATATTTTTGTGATGCGTACATGGGGTAATATATTTTTGTTTTATGTCGTTTATGTGTTTTGTTTGAAGAATTGATGAATGAACATTCTAGGTAAAAAATGTGATCTTTAGTTGGGAGTTGTAGATCTTACATTGCTTTGTTTTATTTCTTCATTAAATGATTGTTATGTTCTAGTAGGTGATGAGAATTTCTGTAGTGGTTTGTGCGTGATCAACAATTCCTGTCGTTGGTCTTTTATCAACCGGTGTTATATGATCCTTGGTGGATCTGTGTTTGTTGGATGATATTTTTCAGTACTTGATCATTATTTTTATAATTTCGTGTTAGTTGGGAGCACGTTTTGGATTATATCTTCTGTTTTCTTATAAACTATTATGCAATATTGTGGTACGTGATTGATTTGGTGATTTTAACCAAAACATGGAGTTTTTAAAAAATTCAACATTGCTGCCCTTTTGCAATGTGCCTTTATTTGTTCTTGATTTCTCAGCCAAATCATAATATTGTACTCAGTTAGATTTGTCCCTCTTAGCAGTCTTTGGTTCTTCATCAATGGTTTAGAATCACCTCCTATATTTTCTGTTTTCTTTTTATTACTGGTTTCTTGATTCCTTCTGTTTTGCCTCATAGACTGGTTGGTTTATGACTACTTTTTATAATAGATTCTTGAGTTCATAGCCAACGACACGCCTCTAATATGTTTGTTTGTATCTTTTCAGATTGTTTGCGGTTGTAGACGACATATTCTGCTTGTTTGAAGGCCACATTGAGAATGTTGCACATCTAAAGCAGCAATATGGATTGAACAAGACGGCAAACGAGGTTATTATTGTCATTGAGGCTTACCGAACATTGAGGGATAGAGGTCCTTATCCTGCAGATCAAGTCGTGAGAGATATTCAAGGGAAGTTTTCCTTCGTTCTCTTTGACGGTGCTTCCAAAGCCACATTCATTGCCTCTGTGAGTTTTCTTTTATCTTTTGCTGATGATTTCCTTTTATTTTTGTTTGCATACTGCCTGTGGTTGTATGATCTTTTCCTGACTTGTCTATTGGGGGTTTAACAAAACAAAGTAAATAAATAAATAAAAATAAAAACTTTAAAACATCTGAGCCTTAGTCGAATAACAAATACCCATGACCATCTTTTAAGATTTATTTGTGCTCTCTTTAATGAGGGAAGATTTGTAATTTTGGAACATAATTTTTTTCTTTAACTAATTTAAAACTTTACAGTAATTTTTTTAATTATCATTGGCTATTATGTTTTCTGTTCTGGAGTTGACTTTATCTGATGCTTTTTTTAAGGATGTTGATGGAAGTGTACCCTTATTCTGGGGAACTGATGCTGAAGGCCACCTTGTTCTGTCTAGTGATGGAGCCTTAGTGAAGCAAGGTTGTGGAAAATCGATTGCTCCCTTTCCCAAAGGTATTGTATTCCTTATTTAATGCCAATACTTATCTCCCTTGTGTTTCATGTGTAGCCTTTGCGTAAAAGGTTTTCGGCCCTGAAGTTGCAAAAATCTATCACCATGTCAATAACTGCATTTGAGCTTTGTGATAAGTGATAACTGGGTAATTAGAATCTGAAATAATTGAGACATTCAAGTAGCTGAAGAAGGCTTTTCTACGCATGAGTCATGACGAATGAAATTATGACATGTGATCAAATATTGTTGATATTGTTCTGGGTTTAAATAAGCTCTGGGTTGTTGTTGATGAGCCTTTGGTCTCCCGTATGAACAAATGAGGCCTCGTTCTTCCCTTGAGTTTAAAGTTTTGAGAAACGAGTGGGACAATGTAATATGGTTGGTAAATAAAAAGACGTTCTTGGCTTTTGGTTTGGGGTTTTAAAACTGAAGTTATCTACGAAATTTCCCTAGTGGTGGGAAAATGAAATGTTCTTTGGCATGAACATTTTTTTTTTCCAAAAACATGCATGTTGTGCACATTTGCCTCTGTAATTTTATTTACAAGCCTGTTATATGACATTTGCCTTCTGTAAATTTATTTACAAGCCTGTTTTATGAGTTTTATGACATTTGCCTCTGTAATTTTAATCATTTCGAGACTTTTTGTCCTTTTGCCTTCAGGATGCTTCTTCACATCCTCGGGAGGCCTGAGGAGTTACGAGCATCCAGTGAACGAGCTGAAAGCTGTGCCGAGGGTTGACAGCTCGGGCGAAGTCTGTGGCCTAACCTTCAAGGTCGATGCTGACTCACGCAAGGACAAAACCAGCATGCCAAGGGTTGGAAGTGATGCCAATTGGTCCCAACACTACTGAAAGTCTGAAGAAACACCACTTACTCTTAATCACTCTCTCTTACTTATCAAGAAGCTTGTGTCACTTATCTGGCCTTTGAAGGAGTAATTCGAAATGAACGAATCGTTTTTGTCTACCGTGTGACAAGCCATTTTATATGATCATGAAAACATAATTAAAATAATCACACTTGTGTTTCTGTACTGGTTGTGCGTGTATGGTGGGCTTTGTCTACTGCGTTTTTCACTTAATTATGTTTCGTTATTGTTTCGATAAACCTCCCAAGTCGAGTCGATTTGTACGGATGCTACCATGAAATATGAGATATATTTGCATGGAACCTTTATGTAGTTTGTTGTTTGGTTTTCAAATGCATGGAGTTGCTAATAAGTTTAGGTCATGCTTGTTTTTGTAGACAAGCCAAGATTATGCTCATAATCTTGGCTGAGTCTTGTGTTTGTTTCCCTGGACAAGGGCCGCAAGATATCTCATGCTCAGAGATTGTATTGTAATTTATCTACTTTTCATCATTATTTTTTTTTTAACGGAACGATAGGAGTTTTATATAAATAAAACACATAATTACATCTAGACAATAGGTAGAATCAACCAAGCAGCCACCTAATTGAATCTAGTGAGAGGACAACAAAGGGCAGCCTAGACACCACAACGCACCCACAATAATAATAACACTATTCCCAAAAGGAGAATCAACACAAAGCTCCCAAAGGGAGAATCAACTTTACAATCACAAAACAAACAACACAAACAAGACAAACACCCACAACACCTAAAACAAAACAAAAACACACAAAACAAAAGAAAAAAGAGCAAAGCCCACCCAACAGCCGGCAACCGCTCCAATCCAACACCGTACAAGACAAGAGCCGACAACGACACCTCCAAGACAGGCCAAGGCTCGGAACTCAACTTATTCACTCCATTCACCCAAAGATGACTGGCTAACATAGGTCGATCCCAAACAAGCCAGGACCAACTTGGAGCCGCACCCGGGAGACCAACACCAACCCCTACCCCCACACAACCCCGACTAGAGCCCTCCAAACCGGCCGAAAGGCTCCAGCTGGACGGGCAGCATCATCTAAACCTCAGGAGACGAGGCAAAACAAGGGGAGGAGCCGGCGTCGGCCTTAATACTGCTCACCGGAGACCCGACGCCCCGCCCTTACCGCCGAAGAGCTGCCCTATAACACCACCACAACCACCCAAATCGAGGGGAAGCGCGCCAGAGAAGACGAACTCTTCAGAGGAAAGAAAGACGGAAGCCACGCTCGGGTCGATCATCTCTGCGAGCGATTGGAGCATCGGCTGAGAGGAGGCAACCGGAATTATATGATGAAGATCGTGTATCGGGACTCGATTTTGTGTAGGAACCCGCGCTAACGGCCTTGGTTCGAACACTATAAAAGTGAAAAAACCCGCACTAACGGTCGTCGGTTTAACATGAGGAATTTGCTCGAAAGCGAGCCTTTTTGTTATTTCTATTTCATAATCCTTCAAAATGAACCATACCAAGTCTTTTTAAGCCAATAAAACAACTTGCAATCCTATCCTACCAAATGTAACTATTTGAAATAAAAACTGAAATTGAACTTCCATAATTAACTTAGGCAAAATAGCTCGTTATATCACGACCTTTCACTAAATTGCTAAAACATCACGACTTTTGGACCTTGGCGGAGAATATCACGACCTTTGATTTCTTTGCAAAATGATACACTAAAGTCAGAAATCGACCATCGGTGCTTACGTGTCCGACCAAACTTTTTTACCTGGAATTAAAAAACATGACGTGGATATGATTGTCTCACGTGTACAATGACATGGAAAATGAGTATAAATATCCCTAAATCAGATTTTTGGAATTCAAAACCCTAATCACAGGGACATCAACGATTTGGGGGAGATGATAGCAAAAAGCAAGAATCTGTCGACCAGGACATTAAATTCAACCTCATACAAATTGTGTGAATCGTTTTCAAGTGGGTAAGTGGAGGCGTATCAGGTGGTGAGTGTTCAGACAAGTCTCTGATCGGGAAAATGTAGTGCGCGGACCGGTCCAAGGCTCCAGCGGTGGCGTAGAGCGAGAAGAAGGTTCCTGAGCTAGATCTGAGCTCTTGATCATTATCGTCCACCATGAAGGTGAGAAATTGGGAGTCGTCGCCAATGAAGTCCTGACGATCGAAGTCCCGCGTCACGGCGGCGCGCGAGCCGCAATCAACGAGGTGGTTGCTAGTCGGGAGAAGGTGGACACAAAGTAGAGGAGGGAGATGAGGAGAGGGAGATGAGGAGAAGGAGATGGTTTTCATCGTCGCCATTGGCAGGAAGCTTCGATGGTTTTCTGAAAGTTTTCAACTTTTTGTTATCTGGTTTTCAATGCTTATGAATTATGACTGGTTTGCTGTGGGCTTCAAAATTTTGTGCCAGAAGGAGTTGGTAGAGTCGATATGGAGCTTCAATTGCAGATGATTGTGGGATAATGCGTTCGTTCGAGGTGCAATTTTTGGAAATTAGGATTATGGTTTGTGGATTAAAATTAAGAATTTTGAAAATTAGTGAATTCCTAAAATCTGATTTGAGTTATTTATACTCATTTTCCATGTCATTGTACACGTGAGATAATCATATTCAGGTCATATTTTTTTATTCCAAGTAATAAAGTTTGATCGGACATGTAAACACCGATGACCGATTTTTGACTTTGGTGTATCGTTTTGCAAAGAAATCAAAAGTCATGATATTCTCCGCCAAGGTCCAAAAGTCGTGATGTTTTAGCAATTTAGCAAAAGATCGTGATATAACGAGCTATTTTGCCATTAACTTATCTAAACTAATGCAACTGCCAAGCCACGTAATTACTGCATGCGCCCAGGTTTAAGAAGGTGTCGTGGTATGGCGGGCTCCACGGCGTAACAACGTGGGCCGGTCAATTCTCGTTGGTCCATTTTCCTCGTGTGACTTGGCTCGATTTCTCGGTTCTCATGACGTGCGAGGGTTTGAGGGAGATTTGGGGGTTTTTTTAACGGAGAGAGAAATGGTTTTTTTTGTTGGTCCGAATTAGGAGGTTCATGTCTCAATTATGGAGGGGAAATTTGGATCATTTTCAAGATTAAACCACTCTATAATTCATATAATTACAACTAAAAAAGTGTGGTCGTTAATTGAGGGAGAGGTCAGATGTTGACATAGAAACAGAATGAAAGACGCACCTCCGCAGCAAGGCGATCGAGCACGGTCGAACACGAGATTTCAAAAAAATTTCATCAGGTAAAACAACAAATTTAACTTCTCGTCCACCTATGATGTTGTATTTTTTTTTTATTACATTTTTTTGGGGGTGAACTAAAAGGTTGAGGAAATTGTTATTTCCATGAGGCTTCTTCATGTTGTTATGATGTTTATTTATTTATTTTTCTCTACAAAAGGCTAGTGACCTGAAGGTCTTGAACCATCTCCCCTGCATATTTTCTGTGTTTTTCACAAGAAGTAAATCGGTACAAAACAGGATATTTCAATTATTTAATTTGTATTTTGTTGAACGAGTTTTATTCATGCCTATTGGTTTTCTAAATAACATTTTCTGATGTTCAATATAATGTGAATGCTATTTTTTTTCAGTGACATTGTTTTTTACATGATTTTCTGAATATGAGTACATTGTGTGACTTTCATTAAATTTTTAATAGCATACTAATGAACACCTTAATATGGTCTCCGTAATTATTTTTACTTTTTTGTACCGACTTTCACGGTTCAAGAGAATAGCATTATCTGTTCTCGCACATGAATATTTTTTTATTTAATTGGGACAACATGCATACGTGTTACTGTTAGATAATAGGCGTAACCATGTATATTGAATCGGTGGAGATGGTAGTACTCGTGATCATTGAGGAGATAATAAACCTCCTAAAAGTTATGATTTGTTTGCTTGCATATATGTTAAATATCAACAAAGAAACGATGATATAAATATGAAGAGTCGAAGCACACGGTCATCCTACAAAATGGCAGCCTGACTTCCTTGCCAAATATAACACATGACATAATTGATAGATGATAGTGACATAACACTTGTGCAACAACTTCGTCTAGACCGAAATACATTTGGTCGATTATGTTATCTATTACAACATGTGGGTAAATTACAAAGCCGAAGAAATGTTGAATTAAGTGAACAAGTTGTCATATTTGTTAGTGTCTTAGCACATCATAAAAAATCTACCTTAGTTTAGGATATGCTCGTCAACCCCGCTATACTCCTTCTTCCTAGTCAAGGGAAGGCTAAGACAGATAGGCTAGGGGTAAGCAGACTACCTTTTTAATGAGCAGGCGAAAGGAAAAGAGGAGTGTTGTGGTTAAGTTTATTTTAAAAGGTCGGTCAAACTATTAGCAAATTATTTCATCATGTTATGAACGTTGTACTACATTTGCATCATTTACTCGTTGTTCAACTGGTTCCTGTCATAGATGACAATGCAGGCTGGAGGTGGAAATGGTTTAAGGTGACCTCAGTTAAACTTTTCAAACAACATTATTCATTAATAACTACATACACGCTTTCTTCTTTCTTGATTTTTTTTCTTATTGTTTTTATGAATAATGAATAGGGATGCTTGGGAGCATTGGATGGAACATATATTCATGTCCGTGTTCCTGGACAATTGCACCCTAGATACCATAATAGAAAATGATCTATCTCCGTCAATGTGTTAGGTGTATGCAATTGGGAAATGAAATTTTCATATATATTGACTGGTTGGGAAGGTTTAGTGGTAGATAGTCGAGTACTAAGAGATGCGGTATACCGAGGTAATGGTTTAGGAGTTCCCATGAGTCAGTATAGGCTTTAGTATTAACTCTTTCGGAAACCGCAATAGTTTTTATTTGCCTTAATAACTTCTTGTTTTTTCTTATATACATTCCAGGGTGTTATTACTTGTGCGACGGTAGGTCCACCAATGGACCTAGTTTTCTCGCTATTTACCAGGGGTTGAGATATTATCTAGACGAGTTTGGTGAAGGTAATCGAGCGCTTAGAAATCATAAGGAGTTGTTTAACTTAAGGCACGCTGGAGAAAGAAATGCCATTTAAAGAGCTTTTAGACTTTTGAAGATGTGGTGGGTCATCATAAGAAGCAATACCTTCTTCGACATAGTCACGCAAAATAAAGTTATTCTTCCATGTTGCCTTCTCTAAAATTTCATTCGTTCAAGTATGAATGTGGACCTATTGGATGGGGAATGTGATGATGAAATGAATGACTCATAGACACAAGAGCCTATAGATCCTACCGATTATGTAGATGTTGTAGACCCGACCCAAGAATGGGTCGCTTGGAGGGAAGCACTTGCAATATCAATGTTTAATGACTTAGCGGGTAGACAACGATTTTTTTAATTGAATGGGATTGTGTTTTTCTAGACATCGCTTCTATGTAGACATTGTGACTCAATATTGTGTTTCATTGTTCAAAATCATGATTTATAACTTCAAACTGAGAGCATGCTTGTTTTGATATATAACTAACTTAGTTAGTATTATTTTGATATAGTGTTTAGTAATTGTGTTTCCTATTCTTGATTGTGATAATTCATTTTTTAGGAGTATTGTTCACAATATAGATTTGTTTTTTGAAGAACCATTAATAGTTATGTACGTGGTTTTTTTAGTGATGGAATCAAGTGCGAGTGAGGAACGTAATGCCACTACAAACACTACTCGTCGAGTTTAGACGGCCGATGAGGAACGTGCATTAGTGCATGGTTTGTAAGATCTTGTTACGCAAGAATAAAAGCGTGACAATGGCTTCCGTTTGGGGTACACATCAACTTTAGAACACCATATTCGATAAAGTGTGTTGGGCTCAAACATCAAAGCTGAAGCAAATATATCTTCCAAAATAACCGTGTGGAAAAGAAATTACAATGACATAGTGAAGATGATGGGGACATCCGACTTTGGTTAGAGTGAAACGGGTAACACGGTAGAGGATCCCAACCATGTGTGGCAAGCATACATTAAAGTATTATTGCGTGGGTGCACATTAACTTTTTTGGTTTTTATATATATTTGTTGCTTTAAAGTGTTCTAAATTGATGAAAAATTCTATCCATAAATCTATCAGGCACACCCTAAGGCCAGGTCTTTCAGAAACAAGTCATGGCCATTTTATGCGGATTGAATAGAAATATTGGATAGAGACCGGGCAACAAGAATGGGAGCAATGGGGGTTTGCTGTTGCTATGAATGATGTATTACCCAATTCAGGTGATCCAACTCAACCAAACAATGTTAGACAACAAGAGTCCATGCCTAGTCCCATTAATCCAAAGGGCAATGAAATGGATTGTTCTTCAGCACACAGGGATGAGAGTACCACATCCAGCAAGAGTCGGGGGTAAAAGGAAACGCTTTCCACAAGACGAGGATTCGTTGGTGAATATTTTTTTAGCTTTAGTTGAAAAAACGGATGAACGCCTTTTGCAATTGGCCTCACAAGTTGGTTCAACAAGATGCAAATGAATAACGTAAAGCAGTTTATGAGGCTCTCGAATCTATCCCTACATTGTTGACCGATGAGAAGTTATTTGTTGCAAAAATTCATGCAAAAACAATGAGGAACTTGATCTTTCTTACAACCTTAGTGAAGATGCAGAACAGTCAATGGTGCGCCTCATTTTAGAGGACTGATTTTAGACGGTTGAACTAATTAATTATGGACAAATTGGTGCTTTTGGTTGTGACAAATAAGTATGTACTTACTATGGATTTTTTTTTGCACTTGATTTGGACTCCTATTCTAAGTAACTTATCAATGATTTTTTTAGTGACTTTGGTTGTGCCTCATTTATGAACTCAAGTATTTTTGTCCATTACCAAATTTGTGCCTTATTTATTAGTTCAACATCATACAAAATGAGTATAAAGTACATACAACACAACATATTCTGTTGCTTTTACACGCATTAATTTAGTCCAAAAGAATTCAGAGTAGTGTTCAAGTCAAAATCTTAATGCATGATATTAATTTATTAATGAGAGGTATTAACTTATAATTAGTTATTTTATGTGTTCTATAAATTTTAATCGAAGTTAAAATCTTTCATGGTATTTTAATCTATACAAAATTCATTTTTAAAAAAATGGAATATCGAGTTAAAAAGGTCAAACTAACTTTCTAAAATAAATTTCATTTAATTTAATAATTGCAAATTTAACTATATAATTTCTTTAAAATTTAATTTAAAATTCTATTTTTTGTTAATTCCGAACATAAGTTGTACAATCCAACTAGAAATCTTGCTACAAATTTTCTCAACCACCTAAATGTTGGACATTAGTTGCATTTTCATGATCATCATGGTAATCAAAATAAATTAAAAGTAAATTTTGAAATATCCACTAACCATTGAAACAAAATCTGGATTCACAAGCAAAAACTAATCATGAGTGTCATTTATTTTAAATAAATGTGTCAACCTACCCCCAATGAATCACCATGCAATTGATTTTTCAAGATTTGTGTCATTTATTCTTCTACTTGCATCATAAGTTCCTCATGTAAGATTTTTCTCAGTCTAGAGAGTTAGTTCCTCTTGTATGATTGAGTTCATCTTTAGGGTTTCTCCTTCATCCTAGCTCTTTTCACTCCCCGTCTCTGTTCGCGTTATTGTGTTGGATATGTTTGGTATAGTCATGAGGTGTTCTTGCCACTTTCTTGATATTAGGGTTCCTTTTTCTCTAGTAAG